GATCATGGGGGCCCCTGTGTCCTTGCCCAAACTCAAAAAAGCCTATGAGTAAAAAAGGTACCAGGGGCATCTCATGGGGTCCCCTACTAACCCCGAGCCCTCGGGCAGAGAATGCCCGAGTTTACAAATGGTCAGAAATCCGCCCCTAGCTTCTGAACGATGGAAAACTGACTGCTGGAAAACGTAGGTTAAAAAAAAAGTCTGTTTAGCCACGTTTGCATACCCGCGTTATGAGTGTTTTATGAGCGTTTGCTGGTATTTTTTTTTTAAAGATAAACTCAGGAGACCTTCCTAAAATGCCCAGAATGCACTGAAAAATAGTAAAAAATTAAACCTATTTCAGACATTTGGAGAGGAATAGAGAGAGCAGAAAGCAGAGAGAGCAGTATATGTGTTGCGAGATGACCTGTCTCCTGTCTTTTCTGGTTGTATTCAACTATGGATCCCATCATGAGCATAATGCGGCACACGTTTCCTACAAGACTATAAAATCTACCATTTTTTCCCTTCACAGCTCGAAACCTGGAACTGACTGCGCTGGTGTACCGGTCCATTTGAATACATGGAAAAACACTTTCGGTGCATTTCTGATGATGAAAAAAGGCTCTGAACAGCATCTGGATATGGAACAGTTAAAAAACGCTTCTAAACGCAACCGCTTCTAAATGCGGTTAGCCGCATTTTACAAGCATTTGGTGTCTGAAGCGCTGATAAAATCTACTCCTGAATGCAAGTTTGGTGTGTTTAAAAAAAACCCACTGTAACCTCAACTGCCTGTAAACAACTGTAAACGACTGTAAAGGACGATGTGTACATGGACACATAGGAAAACATTAGGGAGAGTTCAAAAGCTGCTGAAAAAAACACAGAAAAGCTCCTGAACGTCAGTTTATCAGCTGCAGTGTACATGAACCCTTAAAAGCAAAAAGCAGAGTTTTTTTGCTACAATAGATTTCAATGGATTTCAATCTGCTGAAATGCATGGTAGTGCGTTTTTGCTGCATTTTTTGCATTTCTATTCTACCCAGCTCGAAAAAAATTCCACTTAAGAAAAATAAAAAAAAAGAAGCTGAACAAAATGCAAAACGCGTCAAAAACGCTTCAAAATGCATCAAAAACAAGCATAGAAAAACACAAAATGGTCAAAAAGCAAACTGCATAGGTGTGAATGGAGCCTCAAACTGCTGTATCATCTGTTGTCTCTTGAAGTAAAACACCAGCTTGTACTCTTTTTCATTTTTAAATTTCATTGCCCCTCATTATAAAAATCCGCTACTATTCAAGTTTACGTTGCTGTATTATCTATGATCTCTAAATTCCTAAAGTGAAAGTAAGCAGCCAGATAAAGTGTTTTTCTTCGATGCCACTCTCAAAACTGCTTTAAAAGAATTCATTAAAAAGAAGTTCTTGCTGTACAGAATATTTTTTATTTATTTGTGTATTTTCAATGTTTCCCCCTAAATCACAAGGCGCATTCCTCGTCGCACTGTATTTTTTAAAAGTGTTTTTTTGCATTGGTATACAGTATCTCCTCCTCCATGGTAGCTTTACATGATCTTTTATGCACTAATTCACCTATTAGCCGTAAAAAATCGCTTTCTCTGCCTTTTGGCAAAGATCAAGTGTAGCAATAAAAATTGCTAGAAGAATTTAAAAAGATGTGCTGCCCATAGACTTCAATAGGATTTATCTCTAAGCAGTAGTTTGGGTTTTCCAATGACTAGTGGTTAAGGCTAGGTTCACCCCTATGCAGTTTGTGTTGGATTTGTTTCTGCAGTGCTTTTTGCGGTGCATTCTGCGTTTTTGCACGTGTTTTTTTGTTGCTAAGCGGATTAAAAAACCACAAAACTACAAAACACAGCAAAAACGCATTACATGCTTTTCTGCAGCATCTCCATTGAAGTCTATAGAACCAAAAAACGTAACTTTTTTGCCTTTAAAAAAGTCCCTGACCCTTTCCAAAAAAGGCACCGGGTGATAATGCAGAGATGTGAACGTGTCCAATAGGAAATCATGTTAAATTGACTGCAGTGCATTTTCTGAAAAATGCTGTGGAAAACGCTTAGGTGTTATTATTATTATTATTATACAGGATTTATATAGCGCCAACAGTTTGCTCAGCACTTTACAATATAACAGGAGACAATACAGCAACAATACAGTTCAATACAAGAGGGATAGGAGGGCCCTGATCCTTGGTACTTACAATCTAAGAGGGAGGGGCTAGTGTTACAAAAGGTAGTAACTGTGGGGGATGGACTGGTAGGAGGAATAGAAGATTCCATTATAGCTGAGGGCAGGATAGGCTTCCCTGAAGAGATAGGTTTTCAGAGATCGCGTAAAAGTGAGCAGAGTAGGCGATAGTCTGATAGATTGGGGTAGAGAGTTCCAGAGGATGGGGAAGCTCTGTAGAAGTCCTGGAGATGAGCATGGGAGGAGGAGACAAGGGAGCTAGAGAGCAGGAGGTTGTGCGAAGAGCGAAGAGTATGGTTTGGTGTGTGAACCTAGACTAATACAGTTTTTACCTGATGGGAATGTCAGAAGGGTACTAGGATGTATGTTTTTTCATAGAACTTGCTGCTATATTTATATTATTTAAAAAAAATTTAGACTAATCCATCTTTCCATTTCAAAATTCCCCCTTGCTACATTCTAGAATTCCGTGTCATCACTAGGCAGAAAAAAGAAGGCTTTTACAGTGTTCAAAAGGCAAATCTATTTTCCTTTAAAGATGTCCATCTTAGCAAATAAACAGCATACTGTAAAAAAAAAAACAAAAAAACATTTAAATACATTAATGCTTGTTTGAAAACAGTGGTAATGTTTCTTGAGATAAGTGCAGAACAGTGAATGCATGAAGGCTCTAATAGTGGAAAGTCTTGGAGGCTGGTTTACCAAAGGGACAATTTTCACCTTCACCTTTTTCAAACATTCTATTAAAATGTTTCAAAGCCCGAGGGTTAGTTCACATTAGATGCAGTCCAGTGCTTTTGTTTCTGCATCAAAAATGCATGCACAGTGTTTTTCCATGTAATCCAATGGCCCTAGTTCACACCAGTGCAGTCAGTTCCAGACAGTTTCCAGTGTAGAAAAAAAAAAGTAGAACATGCTGCATTATTCTGCACAGAACCGTACTGGAACATAGCAAACTGAATTAAAACTGTGTGTGTGGTGTGAACTGTACACACAAAAACGTATCCGGAATCCATCCAGAGTGCGTTTTTATGGTGTGAGCCGCCCCTCAGTCTCTACCATTCTTACAAGCTGAAAGGGCTCCACCTGGAAATTATGACTACAGTATTACGCTACAACTGTCATGAGAACAATATTGCCCTCTTGAAAATGCCAATTCTATGACTGTGCCTTGCTTCAATATTAATGATTCATAAACCCAATAAAAGCATTAAAAACATTTTTTAAAAAAATCTAATCTTTCGCTTCCTTTGGTCAGTGACTTCTGAAGCCAAAGAATCAATGCTGTAGGCAGAGAATTAACAATTTTAGAAAGAGAGGTCTAAAGTGACAGCACATATATAATACTGCCAAAAGTATTAGGATGCCTGCCTTTCCACACACATGAACTTTAATGGCCCCCCAGTCTTAGTCCGTAGGGTTCAATATTGAGTTGGTTCACCCTTTGCAGCTATAACAGCTTCAACTCTTCTGAGGGAAGGCTGTCCACAAGGTTTAGGAGGTGTCTATGGGAAGGTTGGACCATTCTTCCAGAAGCACATTTGTGAGGTCAGGCACTGATGTCGGGGAGGAGGCCTGGCTCACAGTCTCCACTCTAATTCATACCCAAAGGTGTTCTATGGGGTTGAGGTCAGGACTCTGCAGGCCAGTCATGTTCCTCCCACCCCAAACTGGCTCATCCATGTCTTTATGGACCTTGCTTTGTGCACTGGTGGGCAGTCATGTTGGAACAGGAAGGGCCATCCCCAAACTCTTCCCACAAAGTCGGGAGCATGAAATTGTTCTAAATGTCTTGGTATGCTGATGCCTTAAGAGTTCCTTCACTGGAACTAGGGGGCCAAGCCCAACCCCTGAAAAACAACCCCACACCATAATCCCCCCTCCACCAAACTTTACACTTGGCACAATGCAGTCAGTCAAGTACCTAAAATATATAAATAAGCGAGCGCCTTCCAAAGTGACAGCAGCTGTACACCAAAGGCACCATATAAGACCTCCAACAGACAGTATATAAAAGGTGCAGCGCTAATATACAGGTAGATGAAGATACGTATTACACATGTAGACTCAAATAGAAGTTCAAAGTGACATAGTGCATACAGGTATAAAAATTAGCCTTCTCCTTTGATGATCACCACTCTCCAAGACACCTGGCTCTGCTGGAGCAGAGGTCCAGTCAGCGCTCCTCCTGTCTCCTCTCCCCGGCATATGCGCACTGCACGTCAGGAAGTCTCTTACCTCACACAGGCTGGCTGTGCACACTTTGATTGGACTCACTCCACACAGAGCACTGAGAGCAAAAAGGGCGCCATTCTCCTCACACAAGACTACCTTCACATTAAGGACACTGCAAGAGATAAACAACGTACCTACTTTGCTTTTTTTCTGAGCTCCTGTGGGAGCCAGGTGTCTTGGAGAGTGGTGATCATCAAAGGAGAAGGCTAATTGCAAGGAGTTTGGACTAAGAAGGGACCTGACCAGATCTGACCAGACCCTGGATGAGGGATTGGAGGTCTTATTTGTTAGAGAAAAGCGCATAAAGGTTGCGCATTTGGTGAGTGCGCAATTTGTACCCCCATTTTCACCGTATACACAGTCGGTGTTGCCTGGAAAGCATTAGAGTGTTTGAGAATTTATTCACATCCTCACATTGAACTTTCGTTTGGATATAATAATCCTTTCCTCACGTTCTACCAGACACATTAGTAGTGTTTTATACCTGTATGCACTATGTCACTTTGAACTTCTATTTGAGTCTACATGTGTAATACGTATCTTCATCTACCTGTATATTAGCGCTGCACCTTTTATATACAGTCAGTCAAGTACCATTCTCCTAGAAACTGCCAGTCATGTCCATTGGATTGCCAGACAGAATAGCATGATTGGTCTCTCCAGAGAACGCATCTCCACTGCTCTATAGTCCAGTGGCAGCGTGCTTTACACCATGGCATCTGACGCTTTGCATTGCACTTGGTGATGTAAGGCTTGGATGCAGCTGCTTGGCCATGGAAACCCATTCCATGAAGCTCTCTATGTGCTGTTGTTGTGCTAATCTGAAGGCTGCACCAAGTTTTGGAAGTCTTTAGCTATTGACTCTTCAGACAGTTGGCGACTCCTGCGCACTGTGCGCTTCTGCATGCGCTGACCCCGCTCTGTAATTTTATGTGGCCTACCACCTTGTTATAACTATTGTTCCCAGTTGCTTCCACTTTGTCATAATACCACTAACAGTTGACTGTGGAATATTTAGTAGCCAGGAAATGTCACAGATGGACTTATTGCACAGGTGGCAACCTATCACAGGACCACACTTGGAGTCACTGAGCTCCTGAGAGCGACCCATTCTTTCACAAATGTTTATAGAAGCAGTCTGCATGCCTAGGTGATGATTTTATACACCAATATCCATGGAGGTGTTTGGAACACCTGAAACTAATGAATTGAAGGGCTGGCCCAATACTTTTGGCAATAAAGTGTATATTGGTCTCATGACAGGTGTACTTCAAGTGCCTAAAGGAGGCACAATAACAGCATAGAAATGCTGTGTTAACCACTTCCAG